AGCCTCTGCAGCACGAGTTCGATCACCCAGCCGGCCAGGGAGCTACCCACATGGCGCGGCAGACCTCTCCTGACTCGCCCGCTGCTCCCCTCAGCAGTGTACTTCATCAGTCTGCCTGTTCTGCTCCCCACTCTGTCTCTGGTGGATCCTCTCACCCCCACACCTCTGGCCTGCACCTCAGCTCTTGTATGCATGAATAAATAAATCTAAAAAAAAAAAAAACAAAAACATGGATGTTCCCGGAGTCGCTCACATCCCCATTTTCCTATGAAAGTATGTCCCCTTTTCGTCCTCTCAACTCAACCCTTCTCCTTAAATCCCACTCTCCCCCCACCCCAGTCTTTATGCCAGGAGCGTCACTTCCAATTTCACGGATCAGAAAAGAAATCCCACCTCCCACGGCGCTCTTCCGTGGGCTCTGACGAATGAACTCCCCCCATGCCCCAGACACGCCTGCCCTGCGCTGCCCCCACCCGGCCGCCGCCCAGGCCCAGGGCCTCCCCACACCAAACTCCCCTCCCTGCGGGGCGGTTCCCGGGCAGAGCGTGGACATGGGCCACATGTGGCAGCAGTGGCTGCAGGCAGAGCCGCCCGGCCGTCCCCAGCCCTGCGCCCGGCGACCCCCTGCGCCCACGCTCCCGCAGCAACACTCTCAAGAGCTGCTGACACCCGGGCCAGCGCGCCCCTCTCGTTTCTTCTTGGGTGTTTCCGGAGCTGGCTCTTGTCTCCGCGCCCGTCATTTCGCAGGACACTATTTGTCAAGGTCACCAGGGCTGTCCACGCCGCCCAGGCCCAAGGCCAGTTCTCAGCAGTCATTGCTCGCCGCCCACCCGCGCGGGGGCTGTGCCCTCCTGGCTTCGCCACCTCTTCACGGAGTTTCCGGTTCTCTCCCACGACGCCGGCTTCTCCTCCCCCAGACCTTTCCACCCTGGACGTCTCTCAGCCCTGGATGATTTCTTTTCTCTCTCTCTCAAGGGACCCAAGTCTAAGCAGCAAGAGAACGTGACTGACCACAGCTCTGCGTCCACGCAGACGCCCCTGAGCTCCAGGCCTCACAGCCACGTGTCCCTTCATGTCCACTCGCTGGCCAACGGGAGCTGCAGAGTGCACACGGTCAAGAGCACTTTCTAATCCTAGCCCCTCCGAAATCTCGAGGCTGTTGATCCTACAGGAGCTACGGTGTTGACCTTGACGTCCCTCTTCCGTAGTCACAGCCAACCTGGAAATGAATCACATCAGTTTTACCTTCAAAATCTAGACCTGTCCACTGTCCCTGCCACGGGCCTAGGTCACCATCATTGCTCACTGGGATTGTTTCAGCAGCCACCGCGCCGGTCTCCCAACCACCCGCCCTCCACACAGAAGCCAGCGCGACCCTTTAAGGACACCGAGCAGGTCACCCTCACCCGTGCCCAGTCTTCCAGGGGCTTCTATTTGGCTCAGGGCAAACGCCACAAGGTCTCAGGTGGCTGGGCCTTGCGACCTCTCTGGTCACACTGTGCGAAGTAACACACTGTGTGACTGGAAGGACTGAGTGCCCTGAGCTACGGTCTCCCCTTTGCTTTGTACCTTCCATGTGCTGCTTCCTTTTTCTAGAATGTCTTGCCCATTTGTTGCAGCTGTGGTCAACAAACTTCTCATTCCTCAAGTTTCAGTCCAGGATGTCCTCTTGGAAAGCTCTAGTTAGGCTGGTTTAACTTCCTTTCCACTCTCTCTCCCCACCAACTGGCTCTGTCGACTCCAGAGGTGCTCGGGCAGCCCCAGCCGCGTCCTGGCAGAGATGAGCTCAGTCCCTTGCTTCACGGCAGGGGAAACTGCGGGGCTCCCCTCAGTCACCACGCGGCTGTCACATGTCCCTGCCTTCCATCCACCAGCAGTTTCTCTCTTTAAGCGCCAATAGCATTTACAACACCCTGTCCTGGGGGACATGATGCCAGGCTGCCCGCTCGCCCCCTGCCACCCCAGAAGCCCCGTGAGTCAGCTGCCATCATTGACGGCCACTCTGGTGCCTGGCCCAGCTCCCGGCACACAGGGGCTGAGTGAAGGTGTGAAGAAGTCACTCCAAAAGACTTGGTACCAGGAAGCTCATTCTTGGTCAGGAACCAAAACTGATACTGAGTGAAACTGAGGGGACCCCAAACTGTTGATGGGGAAAACCCATGTTGCCTGTTCTAGGGGTTTACACCACTAGCACACACAAAGGGGCCGCGAGTGAGTGCACAGATTTTGAGGGGGGTGTGGGAGGTGTGAGGGGCAAGAGGATGAGTAAAGGATTTCCAGGTACAGACCGCTGCCCTCCCATCCGTTCATGAGCAAACAGCCAGCAAACAGCCCGGAGCGGAGTGGGCAAAAGCAAAAGCAAAGCTACCAGGAGCCCAGACACATGCTAGCCAGAGGCCAGGCGGGACCCAGAGGTTGGGGAGAGCAGCAGCCTGAAGTTCACCACGTGCCGTCCAAGCTGGATGATCCCCATGAGGCCAAGATGACGGTCGCCATGGTCTGAAGAGACAGATCCAGGCCCCTGTTCCAAGCGCTGAAGGTGGGGGGAGGCGAGACCTACCTGTGCTCAGTCTCTGAGGGGTCCATGTGGCCACTCAGCTCCACCCTCGTCCCCGCAGATTCTGTCCCGTTCAGGAAGCGGGGTTCAGGGCTTGCTGGGAGATGGGGTCGGCTGTCAGAGGCATGGAATGAGCCAGGACGCCTCACTCACGGCTGAGCTCCCGGGGGCCACCTCCCTGGCAGACTGCCGCAGGGTTTAGACATGCCGTGGCCGATTCCCACCTACCTTGTACAATGTCGTTCAAAACACTGTTCCACAAAGCCATTGTCCTACCTGAGCTAAAATCATTTGTGTGGTTCAAATGAGAATTTGTCAATGGTTTTCATCTTCTACAAACTCTTACCTACTAGTTCAAACCCTTTTTTATTTATTTTATTTTAACATTTATCATTTTTTACATTTTTTTAGACAATATTTGCTTCCCCAGACCCCCTCAGATTGAGTCCCCACAGAATTTCCTTCCCCAAGGCACCCGTGCACCATCACCACAGTCCCCTGAGTTCAAACCCTTTTTTTTTTTTTAAGATTTATTTATTGATTGATTGATTGATTTATACATACATTCATACATGCACTGGGTACAGTCAGAAGCTCGGGAGGGTGAGAGAATCCACCAGAGCCAGAGCGGGGAGCAGAGCAGGCAGAAGGACCGAAGTACACCGCTGAGGGGAGCAGCAGGCGGCAGGAGAGGTCTGCGCGCCATGTGGGACCCTCCTCTGGTGGCCGGGGAGCAGCCGGGGATCGAACCGGCGCTGCAGAGGCTGCGGGCAGCTTCACAACCCAGCGCTCAACCCCTGCGCCACCGGGGAGGCCCAGTTCAAACCCTTTTTAAAGAAGGGAGCTCATAGTTGGAAGGAAACTGAAAAGTCTCCTTTAGGTAATGCTTGTTTTCTGTTTGGCAAACATTTCTGTGCTGAGCTGGTTTGAGCGGGGCGAGTGCCCAGGACAGATCGAACCCCAAGTGGTGGCTGCCGTCGATCACGGGATCGCCCAAGTAGCCAGGCCCTGAGGCACCCTCTGCGAGCCAACATCGGGTGGACTGAGCAGCTTAGGCCTCCCCTTCCTAGTCTCCCGCGTTTCCATCAGGTGAAGATTCAAAATTAAGGAGATGAATGAACACTTGGGGTGCTCGCCCCCTGGCGGCAGGCACTGCTGACTTCCTTCTGCGGACCTGTTTCTGAATCCTGCGCTCGCCTTGGTTCTCTCTGGAGTCACCAGGAGTGTTGCTGAATATTTTTAAAAGTTAATTCCAGGGAAGTGTCTTAAGCTCCTTCTAAATACTATTCATTTTTCCGTACCTCAAGGGCTCTATGGTATTGGTGGAATTTCAGGCTTTCATAAAGGAGGGGCCCTGGGGATTTTGGTGGGTGCCGCTATTGGCCCACCCTGGGCCAAGGGCAGCAGCATCTCGGGGTGAAAAGGGCTGCGTGAGAGTTTGGGGGAGCAGCCCCCCCAGAGTCGGACGGGCTCTTCTCAGTCTTTCCCGCGCGGGCCTCTGGCCGCTGTCACAGAGCCATCTTCCTGCACGTGCCCGCACCATGGACCCACCCCACCTGGATGCGGCCACCTTGGGCTACAAGTCCCGGTGGGTCCTGGGGACGTCAGGGGCAGGGAGCGCCTGGGAACAAGGAGCAAAGGGGAGGGGACCAGGGGACACGGAAGGCAGGTGAGCTCCGAGCAGGAGGCTCTCACTCCCGCAGCCTGTCTCACCAAAGTTCAGCACTTTGGGGGCTGAACTGCAGGCACGTTAGCATTTGTGTGGCTGGGGCGTCAGCAGGTGCACAGCTGGTGAGGTGGGGCGTCTGGAGGTGCTGCCTGACTGTACACAGCTTCAGCGTGGACCTGAGGCTCTGCTCAGCGGACGCTAGCTGGGGTTAGGGCGGCCTGGCCACGAGCCAGTCTGTGATGATCCTCACAGCGCTCACTTTCCTCATTCCCCGCACACATCAGCCCTGTCATTGCTTTGCATGTGTCTGCCCTGCAGTCGTAAGCACAGTTGAGGACCCACCCACTGGGCGAACCATGGTCCCCCCAGGTTTGCTGTGTCAACAGACTCAATCACTGTCTACAGTCTAATCCTGTTTTTCAAGCCCACTAGGCCTACTTTTGCCCAAGTATTACTAAAGCAGGGTCGGGTGAGATTTTAATGTGGCAGAATGAGATCAAGGGATTGAGGTGACTGTTCAGCTTGAAGATCTGAGAGTCCGGACTAGACAAAGTCTCAGCGGTACAAGCACAGTAATGCAATCAGATGGACACAGAGTTTTTCTTAAATCAGACAGAGTAAGAATCGCCACTGAAACAAGCTTTCCGTAACTTCAAGTTGAACCAAGAGAAATCCTGTCTGGATGTGGACCCTGAACACGGACCATAAAAGCCAGTTGTTTTGTAACTAGGGAGACTGGACTGCGTTGTCACCAGTCAGTACAAATGAAGGACAAAAAATGTCACTTAAAGAACATCTTTATTTGATCTTTGATACACGATATTACCTTTAATTTGTAAAAACTACACAGAGAGGAAATGACTGGAGATCAGTTCAGGAGCAGCCAGTGGGTACCGAGTTAGGAGCTCACACTCACCCCGCTATTAGTTTAGGGAGCCATTGAATCTGGGACCTGTGAGACTGAAGAATGTCATTTCGATGTCCACATACAGTAATTAAATCTGGGGATATTTTAATGAATCCAACAATAATTCAAAGTTTTCCAAAAAATAAATGTTCCCGAGAAAGCTGAGCTTCTCTCCAGGGAGCTTTCCGGCGTGCAGCGTGTAACATTCAAGTAGCTGCAAGGCATAGCCGTTATCTAAAGGCCTCTGCACACCAGCAAGTGTGTGTGTGTGTGTGTGTGTGTGTTTGTGTGTAATCACATTCACACTGAGTTGAAACCACCCGGATGGCGTGGCAGACCTGGAAAGGCAGCTCATTTATATGCGCTCCCTCTCCCACCCTAAACACAGGACCCCCCTCCTCGAGAATCTCCCCCGACAGTGACATATTTCATAAACTTAGTGAAAAAACCATTCTCTCAGGATGGGTGCATTGCAACGTACCAACTAGTGAGAAGATGCTGTGTACTTTCAGGGATAATCTCACGAGTTCTGTGGGCGCAAACCAATTTTAAAATGGCTTAGTTGTTAAACGGTGAAAATAAAAGTTTGAGGAAAGCTTTCATTCCAACATGATTCATGGGACATTCTGAAACACTGCCACTGACTTGTAAAGGGTGTGAGAGGTGAGGTGCGCAAGCAGAGAGGAAGGAAAACTGCTCTCTGCACTTCTCAAGATTTGGACTGTTCCCCAGGGAAGGAGGGCCGTGACTTTGTGCCGTCTGAAAGGTGACTGCCCACCAGCAAGTGAGGCACAGAACCTATTCTCTGCCACTTAAAATTTTACAAAGATTCAGTTTCTACAGCACAAAGGTCAGGCATCCTGTCATATTCTTGTCATAGGACTCGGAGTGTTCAAGTGCAGGGATTTTGTAGCCGCAGCAACCCAGAGTCCTGGTCCAAGGGTCAGTGAGCAGGCAGCGCTCGGACAGGGTATTCAGATACCACTTGAGCATGACACTGAGACCCTTCTTTTTCCATGAGGACTCTGGAACTGCCTTACAATGTGACTACTGGCTGACAGCACACACCGGGAACAGAAAAATGTGCCTCTTTCATGAGTCCTATCACCCTGAAACCCGAAGAGACTCTAGAAGGGCAGTTTCCATTTTGAAGACAACAAAATCTATAGTTTAGGTTACACAGACACATACAATCATACACACACATAGCTTTTTTGCTTTAAAAGGTGAATTATGTAATTCAAAACACAGAGAAGCAGCAGAGATTACAGGGTCTTACATAAATTAAACTGGAGACCAAAAGTTAACAATTATGACTCATGAGCCAAATGCAGCCTGCCATGGTTTTATAAATAAAGTTTTATTGGAACACAGCTACACTCCTTCATTTACATATTGTCTATACTTGTTTCCATTTTTCAACAGCAGAACTGAGTAGCAGAGAGAGACTGTATGGCTCACAAAGTCTAAAATATTTATAATCTGACCCTTACAGAAACGCTTGTTGACTCAATACAGACAGTATATATGTATATCTCCATGGTGATCTGAAAGAGCTGAAGTAACAGAAAATCATCTTCACCAATGTTATTGACTGAACCAGAATAAGTGCATTAAAGTATCTCCAAATCATGTTTGGTAACTCAAATATTCTGCTTAGAATTTGTGCAGCCAAAACCGGTTAACAATTACTTGTTCCTTACTTATTAACACAGACAGTAATAAAATTTCCATGTATAATTTATGTATATATCTATGTAAAGAGTAGATAAGACAAGCTAGCCAACTGGAGGGTAAGAAAACCTAAAGAAAAATAAGAACTCAAAATCCTCTAACTAGAAACTGTTATTTGGAACTTAGAAATATTTTAGTATATTTGTCTTTATACTTAACAGCATGGGGACATTAGCAGGACTCATAGCAGAGCAAAAACAATTGACAACTGCAAACTTTTCCCATGAATTATGTGCCCCAATTTTTTGAATATAAAATAACCAGCACTTCTATAAATCATTAATTTCTAATTAGTACTTAGAGTGAGACAGTAAAAGAATGCTTTTTCTCTCTAAAGTAAATATTTTAGTTAAGCTTGCATGAGAAATCAAGTATTTGACAGTTTCCATGAGACTTTAGTTATCGACTGCAACTATCGCTGTTAGTAGGATACAGTAACACTTTGCTTAAAATATATTATAAACCATCTCTTTTCCTCTTTAATTTAAATGAAATATAAAATTAAGGATTTTGTCACATGACGCATACTAGAAACATTTAAAATGGTATGGACTACTCTTCTACCAAAAATGCCACTGGAATCATAAAATGTGAGAGTGCCCAGCACAAAGGTTGGCACATCAGGTACTCCGTGTTTGTTCACTCGTTCTGATTCACTCACACATTCATGCACAGAAATCCAGGCTTGAGGAGAAACTGCATAATGTGGACGGCAAGCACAACCTTTTATGAACAAATGCGTAGTTTTGACAAAGACTTTGGCAATGGAGAGTGGGGATGAGAAGTTCAGGAGCAAAATCTTCAACTGCTTGGTTAAAGTTTACCAAGTGAAGTCCTAGGTTACCCCAGATAACAGCAGAGAGAACCAGGGTCCATATTCCACAAGAGGAACTCATTCCTTCAATGCCCAGGCCTTATTTCTACATATAAAATAGAAACATCTACTCCAAGACAAGAACAAGTCAGAGTCAGAGAGGTAAAACAGCAAACACGTGTGACCCACCAGAAAGCAAGAATCCTCTGATCGGGGATTGATTTTTCTGCAGAGACTTCTTTTTGGTTAGGGCCGCATTTCCTTGGCTTTAATGACTTTATACTGGTTGAATAAAAAAAAAAAACAAAGAAAAATCTGGTTTGAACCAAACTGTGATTCTAAGAGACAGAAACATCTGAGAGAGAGAGGAGCTCTGAGTCTCCACTGTCCTCCGCCAGGGAACCCCTCATCTACCTGCTCTGCGTATTTGTGCCCAAAGCACAGTGATGTGTCAGTGCTTTGAGGAGGCATCCAGAAAGGGGCATTTCTAGGCCTTCTGTATTTAACACGAAGTGGTCTACAAAATGCAAGCGACTATAAAGAACAGAAGAAAGAACTCTCTTGGAAACTAAACAGAGCATGGGATAAGGACTGAAATTGGAGGAAACGATTTTAAAAATTTCTAACAAAAATAAAACATGACACCAGCAAGTCATCTGTAGCTGACTTTAATTGCCTTTGGTATTCAGAGAAGGAAAAAAAAAAAAAATGGAAGCATTGCTGGAACTCTAGTCTCACCATCATAAGGAAGTGGGGAGCAGTGAAGCAGCCTCTTTACCTCTTCACTGTTCCCCGCAAGCCATGGGCTTGCTCAAAACTGGCCAGACTTGTATGCGTCTCTGCTGTTTCCTAAGCCCCAGTCACTGGAAAAATATAAACAGAGCCCTTGTGGTGGGGTTCTGTCTTTTCATTCCTTGACAAGTTTTTGGGAGAAGCAAGGACACCCCTTTATTCTGTGTTCTCCCGGACAGGGGGGGGGGATTCACTGCCCCCTCTGGAGCTGTTCTGTGTCTTCGCCAACTCAAGTTTTTCACTTGTGCTATTTCAGGACTAGCATCAATGCTTTTTTGGGCGCCAAATACTTTCGCTTTCCCTCCCAAAGTTACAATCGTGTCCCCATCACATTTAAAATTTCTAATTTTTCAAGTAGTAAAAGATATTACAATTTCAAAATATGTGCTAAAATTTAATGTTATTAAAGACTCAATGCAACTGACTCTACACCTTTTTCTATGTATCCTGGAAAATCATGGGTGGTTACCGTTAATGGGTCATTTGCTGTGCTATGAGCAGTTTGACAATTTCTGGTGTAAGAGGATCACCCTTAGAAAATATTTGATTACATTTATTTATTAAATCTTTCCCCAATTTAAACCTACTACATGCTAATATAAGGTTAAAAAGAAAAGCTATCAAAATAAGTAAATAAGCCACTGGAATTCCAAAGTAGGCTTCCTGGCACATTGTTTCATGAAATCTTCAAATTCAGAGTAAATATTAGGCTAATTATACTACTCCTAACTTTTATTGTCCACGGAAGCTGCATGTATTAAGTGTAAAGCAGAAAAAGACATCTCATACGGAGACAAAACCTCAAGGGACAGAAAACGCATATTCTGTTAGATATTTATCTTACAATATAATTCTTGATAAAATTTAAGTTCTTCCACCAAAATATAAAGAAATAGCAGTTTCTTTAAAAATAATATTGTAAAATTTACTGATGGTAAGAGAAAGTCCTTCAGATAGACCCAGATTTAGTGTAATAGGATCAATCATATCAATATTTTATCACTAAAAATTATTTTGAAGCATTGTGATTCTTTGGATTTCTATAAATATTCTTGGAGAAAATAAAAGTTGAATTTATTTTCTACATAAAATATTTGTGAAAAGCTCACTCATCTGGTAATAAATAAGGGATCTCCTGTCCCCATTCCAGATATAATATTTAAGGAAGTTTCACTGTATTTTATTTTTTATTTCATAAGTTATAAAAGTAATTTGGCTCATCAAGGTAAATTGAAAGTTGCATAAGAGTATAATGAATTTTGCCAAGCCACATAAATAAAGTTGTACACTGAGGGACTCTAAGTTGATAATGAGGTTAAAGTGGATCAAGTTTACTTGGTAGATGTGCTGATCTGGAAAAAAAATCTCCTACCAGCAAAACCAAGGCTTTCTCTTAGAACAGGCTTCAAGGCAACAAACTGCGGCATTTCCCCCACTTTTTGTCATGCTATCGACACTGGACTGAACATCATGCACAAAGTCCCAAACCCAGGCTCGGAAGTAACGGTTCCAATGAGGAGCGGATTCAGAGATTCCACGTGGAGACATGACTTGAAGAGTAATCTTTGTTACACCATGCCCCCAGAGACATGGAATCTAACCAAGAAATTTCAACGAAGTAGATTGGGACCTGAAATGGCTGCCAGTCTGGTCATCCAGGGAAGTGGAAATTCAGATAGGGACAGGTACTTCTCTCTCTTTTTTGAGTCTTCCTGCTGCTGATGCAGTCATTCTGTTCTTTTACTCTTGTTTATTTTAGTTCATTCCGTTACTAAAAATGGAGAGAAAGAGGGCAAACAAGGCGTACGTATTTGATTTGAAAGCTGCTTCCCATGGGCGGGAGCAGCTATATACTTGGTTCGAAAGGCCATCTCTAACTTCCGTAAGATGCTCCACATTCTCGGCTTATTCTTAGGCAGTCTAGCCTCCAGACTCCAGAACTCTTAAAAAATAAAATAGTATTAACAGGCATAATTTTTCATGTGACGATCTCGTTAAGAATCAAAGTACATCAAGTTTCTGTCTTACACATACCGGATTATTATGTTTTGGTCAGGTATAAAATGGAATCATTTCAAAGTTGAGATATCTACAAGCTGAAAAGTTTCGTGGGGAATAGTCACATTTCACCCTGCATTGTTGACTTAAGAGGTCCAGGTCTTCAAAAGCCCCCTCTCCAGACTAATTTCTGTAATGGTCCATGTAAACAAAACACAGGAGAGAATGGTCTTTCTGGAGCTGTTTTCATCGAACAGCAGGATTTCCTGAAAGTGTGGCATTGGCTAAATGTAACACAGGCAGAGGATGAGCCTCTGTATTAAACACCCAGTGGTCTAAAGGTAAAAGGTCATCACCAGAGAACAGCAGATATAAATATCTGAAAATAAAAGAGGGGTGGGGGAAAGAGCTTCAATTAGAATTCAACAAGGCCATCGAGTGATCTCAGTTATAACATCAGAGGAAACAACTTATTTGGAGGTTTCATGAAAAAACATATATAAGAAAATGAACTCTACTCACTCAAATGATCTAAAACACAAAAACAAAAACAAAGAAAATCCAGTAAGATGTACAGAGCATTAAGAAAATCCAGTAGGACTGCTGAAATACGACAGATGTTAAAAATTCCACACACAGCTGTAAAGTACATAAAACAATGATGTTCTAAAAAGTGGCATAAAATAAATTCATAATTTTCAAAGGCATTCTTTTAAAAATAATATACTATACCAATCATGTTTTGGCAACTTCAGAGCTCACAGTATAACCTGACATTAATAATTACGTTTACTAATGAACACTGACAGAAATAAGTACATTGTTTTCACAAAGCAAATTTACGCATTCCTAATACTTCAGTAGTCTTCACGCTTCTTGGAGCAGGTACTGCCAGCTGCTAACTAAAGGTTTAAGGAACATTACAGATTCACAGCAGGTTTACTACTTTGTTAACTGCTCTTAAGGGACAGTAACATCATTCCTATGAAAGCAAGGATTCCTGACGTCTCCAGGAGCACCGTGAGTCAGTGATAATTTAGAAATGTAAATGATAGAATTAATACACACAATGATTCTTACCTATAATGTTGGGCAAATTGCAATCTGAATTCTATCAGGGAGTCATTAAAGTGAGCATCAAAAATCCAAGTATATAGTCAGCAAATCTGGGTTCTAGTTCTTGGTATTAGCAATAACCCCCTGGGCCATAATAGGTCTCAGTGGAGAATTCCTTTACAGATTTAACTTAAATTTCATTATTTAAAAAGCAGGCATGCTACTATCATTTGATTACAGTCATTGTAGGGATGATAGAGTAAAACTGTACTGAGGTAAAAATGGGAATTACGTGACTCTACAACTGGTAAAACTGGAATGGAAAATAATAGGTCAATCTTACCCCTTGACCTTAGGCCCCGATACCTGCTTGACTTTATTTACCAGGTTACAGGCAGAAAAGCTGGAATTGATTGAAAAAAAACAAAAACCAAAAAACCGGACTGGACTAACAAGAGACTCTGCTTGGTGGCTCACTGTACAGAGGCCAGAACGTATGCTCTTGGCCATCTGAGCAAGAGTATCTCTAAGGAGCGGTGTTCTAGGCAATTCCACATCTCTCGGTTAAATATGGACTAACAGCTTGAGCTTACTCTAGCTTCATCACTTCCTGGGAGATAAGTCAGTGAAGGCCTACTAGGGAGAGGAGTTTCCAGGAAGGTGAGTCCTTGCACGGGGGTGTTAAGGGAAGTGCTTCATCACATAACCACAAATGCTATGAAAATCAGTAAGATAGTGTGAAAGTTTTAGATAACTGAACGCGGTATTTTTAAACCTTCATTTTAGAAAAGTATCTTAAATATACTATAGTGGAACTGTAGTTCCACTACAGACCTGCACACCCCAGACCTCCAATTCAAAACTCAAAGTCTCAGAATGTGACCTTATTTGGAAATGAGTCTGTAGATATAAATTAATAAAGGATCTAAAGATTAAAATAACCTAGTATTTAACAGTGGTCCCTAAATCTAATGACTGGGGTCTTTTCAAGAGAAATAAGAGATCTGCCACAGAGACACACAGGGAAGGTGTTCATATAAACATGAAGGCAAAGATTGAAGTTATGTCATCATAAGCCAAGAAACATCTTCAGAAGAAGCTGACTTCTGGCTGAGAGAGAATAAATTTCTGTTATGACACCAAATTTGTGATGATCTGATCATTATAGCAGCCCTAGGAAACTAACACAACTTCCACCCCTCCCCTCCAGAAGACCCCTAGTCCTTTGTGTTTGTGTATGAGTCTTGAGGACTAGTTTATTCTTTTCACACAACCACTGATGGTAATGTCCAGTGTCCTGTGGACAAGTGTTACAATTCTAAAAGGGCTTGTACGAAGAACTAGAACTCTTCAGAGAAACAGATTTGAAAAACAATTTACTTGAAACTTTCACCTGTGCTTCTAATATTAAACATCATCTTTGGAATGAACTGATTAGAAATGAAATGAAATCGAAGACATTCATTGGAAATTATATTCAAAAATGTACACTTATATCTGCCTTGCCCCAGAGCAAGATTTTTGTCACTAACTTAGCTCTTCAGTTCTATCTTCACCATCTCTGCTTTAAGAAGCACCAACATTAAAAACATTAAGAAATTTATTTTAGTTCAATAGTAAACAAATTTAATTCCTACTTCTATGACTCCTTTTAGAAGCACATGATAAAGGGACTCTCAAGTGTTACCAGATAGACAATATAGGTCTAGCCATATAACAGATAACTATGCATCAACAGAAAGGAATAAATTACTGACACTTGCAAGTACATGGATTAAACTGAAAAATCCCATGCTGAAAAAAATGCCAAACAGAAGAATGAGTACATACTGTCTGATTTAAATTACATGAGATTCTAGAATAAGCAGTCAATTGTGATAGCAGATATACATTTGGGGTGGGACTGAACTTCCTGCATGGCTGGATGAAGGGGCCTTCCTAGTGGTCAAGGGGTTAAGTCTCAGCACTATGAAGCTATCCACAGTCACTGCAGCGTGAATTCGATCCCCAGCCAGGGAGCTACCCACATGGCGCAGCAGACCTCTCCTGTCTCACCCGCTGCTCCCCTCAGCAGTGTATTTCAGTCAATCCATCTGCTCTGGCCCTCACTCTGTCTCTGGTGAATCCTCTCACCCTCTTCCACCTCTAGCCTACATCCCAGCTCTTGTATGCATAAATAAATTAATTAATTAAAAAAAAAAAAAGACTAGAATGGAAATGTTCCACAGTAACCAGGGTGGTAATTACCCATGCTTATATATTAGTCAAAATACAATGAAATGTACACTTCAATAAAATGAATTTTTAAAGTTAAAAAAAGACTAAAGGAAAAGAAAAATAAACTTTTTATGTGCTGTTGTTACATCAGTATACTTTGGGTTGTGGCTCCCTCTACTGTAGCAAAAAAAAAAAAAAACTGACAAAGATATTTAAGTATATAGTTTTTTTTTTTTTTAAGATTTATTTATTTATGCATACAAGAGCTGGGGCACAGGCCAGAGATGCGGGGGGTGGGGAGGAGGGTGTGTGTGTGAGAGAGAGAATCCACCAGAGACAGAGAGGGGAACAGAACAGGCAGACTGACTGAAATACACTGCTGAGGGGAGCAGCGGGTGAGATAGGAGAAGTCTGCTGGGCCATGTGGGTAGCTCCCTGGCCGGGATTGAACTCGTGGTTGCAGATAGCTCCATAGGTTGCATCTTAACCCCTTGCACCACCAGGGAGACCCTCCTAATTCAAATGTTAATGTATTTTGACCCACCCATTTTTTCCTGGGAATTTTAATAATACTTAAATTCATACAGGGAACAAAGATAGGCACCACTGCGACACCGTGTATAGCTGCAAACAACTAGGACCAACTGACTGACGAAACACACCAGGTACAGGTCAGTGCATCTGCATGTGTCAGTGTGGCAACTTTCCCTAGATAAGGAGTTAGTGGAAAAATATAAGTCTCAGAACAGTATCTGCAGGGGGAAGTGAAAGCCTAATGAGAGTGTATATATATGTAGTTATGTTAACATATACTCAGGAAACTTCTAAAAGGCTACATCAAGAATAGTTATTTTTAAGAGTGAGAATGGATGAGAAGTAGACAGAAACTCTTTCACTTTTTCTGTCACATACAACTTATTTTGCCATAACCACATATTTTTTTTTTTGTAATTTCAAAACTAACCGGTATTAAATCCATTATTAACCCTGATTTTTCAAAAGCTGCACAATATAGAGGAGATGTTTGTATAGTTCCTTTTACTATGACAAGTGCTACGCTGTGAATTCTGTATAACTGGTTCAACATGCGTTAAGTGTGCTCTAACCTAAACACTATTAAGTACCGAGGATATCATACTTCATGTCAGAATGAGGGCAGTGCCGTGAGGATGGATGAATTCCGCCTGAGTGTTGGAGAGGGCTCACGGAGGCGTGATATCTGAGGCAGGCCTTGAAAAGGTAGTAAGATTCCGTTAGGGGTAAGTAAACAAATGAGGAATTCCATGCAGAATGGACAGCAAGAACAAAGACATGTAAAAATGTACAGTAGGCAGCTAGAGAACACACAGGTGAAGTGGCCAAGCCGGAGATGTGACTGGCAGGACACAAGTAGCACTTCACCTAAACTACTCAGTGTAACAGTGAAGAATATCAACAGTGTGAGAAAATCATTATCTTAGCTCATGCAAAAAGTAAAGATCTATACTATATTTTCAAGCCATATTGACAGGATTACCAGAAAGGTGGATGCAGTATTACTGTGCACTGATGATGAAGTATAATGCACAAATTTCAGGTTGCTATTTAACTACGTCTTGAATGCAATGCCCAGTCTAGAAAACAATGGGATTATTTCCAGAGAAGGCAACCAGACTGGTATCAGAGAAATACTACAGAAACATGAAATTTTTAGCCTGGTAAATAAAAGTATCTTTAAATGAACACATAGAAAACTTGCCAAAAGGCGAAACAAAGATCACTGAATGGAATTCACAGTACAGCAGATCTTAACTCATATAAGAAAGAGCTTCCTAATAATAGGAGCTTTTGAACTAATGAGATTAACAAAAGCCTTTATGACAATGGCATGTTGTAAACAGATGTTTAGCATGAGAATGTCTGTGTGTGGGGCTAAGAGAAGAGTGGTGGTGTTTGCTGAACTGAATGACCTCCAAATTTTTTTGCAGCTCAAAAAAATTCTTTTGATTCCAGTCACAAAGATGGCAACTCAATTTGAAACTAGAGAATATTGCTGCAGTTTATAAAATTTTTGTTCTGATTATAAAAGCAAAAGCAGAACAATTAAAAAATCAAACTAAACCATGC